GTTTAATGGTGCTTAGATATAAGGTTAAAAATAAAAACTGTAGGAATAGAGTGATTGTTGGCAAAAGTCAAGCTTAGCTTTCAAATACAAACACACACATTCTCTGAGCTGTAGATTGTTACTGGAAAGTGCTGGCAGTAGTAGGTATGTTCACTCTCTGATTTGATAGATATTACAGTTATTTTAACCATGGTGAAGCAAGATGCTATCTCATTGTAAAATTAAAACAAAAAGACATCACAAAATGGGGACCGCATCTTCACTTCTTATAAGTGCACAGGATCTAGTAAGCCTACTGCATTACAGAGAAATTCTAAAAACCACACCATGGAAGAAGATGGGAAACTAAAAGTTCCAGACCATGTGAAACGTGGTGGCATGTGACCATAGAAAAGCAGGTTTTTGTCACCTGTTTGGACCAGGCAAATATTATGATTCATCATGAATCTGCTATTCTGGTCTAAATATTCTAAAAGATTTAATTGGGGAAAAAAGGTGTACACATCTCATTCATTAACATTGCTTTATTTTGGATAATTTTTATTTGCTAGATTGCTTTCCAGGGGAGCCATTTTATGCCCAAGGCTTGCAAATGATTTTGCTGACTTGGCTTGCTCTTTGAGTCATGACATTCCAGGTTCCTCTGTATTGGTCTCCTCCTAGATGAGCCCCTCAGTGTCATCATTAGGAAGCAAGGTCAAAAGAAATCGTGGGCAGTGAGGACATTTTCTTGTCTGGTATTCTACCTGATTGTTGGGCAAGCAGGTCCTAATGCTCCAGGGCCCACAGTAGTCAGGGCTATCCCCATTCCGGTGATGGTACTCAGCCTCTCCCACGCACACGCACGGTCCTCAGTGTTGCTTAAGGGTGTAGGCTGGGCCCTGACTCACAGGGAAGAGGTGAATTGCATCCTGTGAGTCAGTGGCTCCACTTCCTGCTGGCACATTTGAGATTTCACTGAAACACAACCTCCAACAGGTGAAGGGAGAGAGATGAAGAGGAAGCATCATATTTCTGAACCTATATGGAACCGTGATCCAAATGATAGTCTCTGAAGGAATTTTGGGTTTTGTTGTTCATAGTGAAGTAGAAATTCTAACTGCCAGTTTGCATGTAAATCATCTACCTATATTATTTTGCACAAACTTCATCTGGATCTTAGTGAGCAGCCTAAAACTAAAATCAGTTCTATTTTATGATACTATCCAAAATGTTTATCATAGTGAATTATTTATTAGCATGGATTCATTATAAAGGGCCAAATTTGCAATTGAACCATAGACTGTTATACAGAAAAACCATGAAAATCATGAACAAAGTTATGATTAAGGGGCTGTGTGGATATGGCATTAGTTCTTAACTGCTTCCCTGTATGACTTTAAAATGCAGAAAACTGCAATAAAGAATACTGGGCTGGGGTTGTAGCTCAATGGCAGAATGTTTGCTTACTATGCACCAGCTCTGTGTTCAATCCCCAGCACTGAATAAAATTTTCTAAAGAGTGACAGTATTGTAGATAACACGGTTCTTGGTAGGCGGGCTTTTCAATCTCTTGATCATCGTGCTTCCTCCTTTATTCAAGTTTCCAAGTTCTTGTGGCAGAGACACAGCTAGCGACCCTTGAGGACTCCTATTTTAGATCAGTTCAACTATGAATTGAGACAGATGATTTAGACCCAATTTTGCTGTTTCTTTGGCTCCATGTATCTATGATGGAGCTGCATCCACACATTTATATTAAGGGAGCACTTAAGGTTACAATTTCATCTGTAAAATACCTTGCTGGTGGATTAATGTAGCAGTCTCACAGAAACTGTCCTGAGCAATGGACTGTGTCCAAAGGAGCGTCACAGGTAAGGGAAGCCCAGTTTTCATGGAGGCACACCCTGAGCTAAACATTCTTTAATCAACAAAGATAAATATTTCACCTGTGGCCTAAGCAACTGGAACGAGGCTTATAACAGCAGAACTAACAACTTCTAAAAAACCTTAACAAGCAGCAAAGAAAACTAAAAAGTACCAATGCAAAACAATTGTCTGTATTCTACACCAATCAGAAGATGCCGTAGTAAGCACTTTGAAGCAGGAAACACTAATCTTGACATTAGCACTTTTTCCTTCCATGTATGACTTTTAAATAATGAATAATGGGCCTAGGCAGAAAAACTAGCTTCAGAGACATATTTTTGTTCGTATGTTTCCTGGCTGGCACTTTCCTTGAGAGAGGATTGTAATGTCTCCTTCAGTGCTTTCCTTGACTGAGGAAGAACTGAGGGTCAAGGATGGAAATAGGTATAATCAGAAGTCCAGTACTGAGGAGGCTATGTTGAAGAGTTTAATTCTTCAGTAAAGTGCATGGTAAAATCATATTGAGAAGTGGAACAAAATTAATGAATTAATTACAAAATTAATGTAGATAAGAATCTAGCTCCTCCTCCAAATCAAATACCCCACCCCCACACACCAGCTATATGGAAAATAATGTTCATCTCTGTTTAACTGTCAGTGAAATTTGGATATCAGTTTTTTTCTTTTGGTCATTGAAGAAAGATTATTTTTGGTCCCTAAAGGCAATGAGGGCAGCAATTATACTATATGAGAAACATGACTGGGAAGAGACATTCCTTTTTTAAGTTTTTAAATTTAATTTTATTATTTTTATCTTATGTGTATGAGTGTATTGTCTGCATGTATGTAAGTGCACCAATGTTTTGCAATGCCTGTGGAGGGAATCAGATCCCCTGGAACTGTAGTTATGGACAATTGTTAGCTGCCATATGGGTGCTGGGATTCAAACCTGGGTCTTCAGCAAGGGCAGTCAGTCTTCTTAACTACTGAGCCATCTCTCCAGCCCAGGAAAAGACATTTCTAAAGCTTTCAAGAAGATGGTGTTTTCAAACCATTGAGAGAAAATAAAACTGATGGCAGATAGAGTCTTAGTTGTCTTCTGTGGTCATTAGATATGTGATCTTGCATAGACATTTAATCTGTATGCGTGGCACTTGTTTGGGTTTAATACCAATCTTGAGCATGAACAGGATTATTGTGTTAAGTTTGAAACATGGTAATAGAAACAATGATGCTGCTGCTGATGTTGAAATGCAATTTGGTTTTTAGAATCTCCAAAATATGCAATTTGATTATCAAATATAAATTTCCTCTGATCAAGAAAAAACATCTTGTTTTACATGAATGTACTGATGCCTTCTAACAGCAAATTATAGAGATTTATAATCCTATCATATACCAGTAGAGGGCAGTACTCAGATATACTCAAGCTAGAGGCTAGAAGTTGAAAGTTTAGGGACATTTATGGGAATCTCTAGTATGTGAAGCATTTCAAGAAAAAAAAAAAGTTCCATTTCAGCCTCCTTCAACCTCTGTAAAGTAGAAAAACTGGTGACTTGGAACATGAATTATTGTTTCCTAAGTAACGTGGTTCAAGTTTTCTCACACAATTAACTTTCACCATACCTGTCGCTTCTCCGAGTTAAATACTCTGCTTTAATTATAGGTGCCTGAGTTTGTTCCATGTGATGTTCATTATACCCGAGTATTGTTGCCCATCTCCAAATTCTGTTATATAGCCCATTTATTATGTATCATTGGGAAAAGTCATTTAAACACTTGATGCTCAATTTTCCTCATATCTAACTGAGCTAATAGTATCTTCCTTAGAGAGTGCTAAGAACATGAAATGAGATACTTAGATGGACAGAGCCAGGCCTAGCATACTGTTCATGTTCAAGACTTGTCAACTGCCACTGTCACTACTACCACCAGCACTGATATGTATTATATAGTAGTTACTCATACCACCAGCACTGATATGTATTATATAATAGTTACTCAGATAGGCTAGAGAAAGGGATTGAAGTACAAAAACCCAAAGCTGAACTAGGAGATTCAAAATACTCTTGCATGAACAAGTGTGGAATTAAAAGACTCTTCTTATTATGTTTCCTGTACAATTCAGAAACAGCTTGAGTCATTCTGATGCCTATTTTCCAACATTTATCTTTTCGCTGAATGAAACAGTTGTTTCAAACTCACTGGGCCGACAGAGACTGGGTGCTAGGACTTGCAGGGCTTGGCGTGGTTCATCTGTTCCTTCTCATTTTAGATAAGATGTACAGCTGGCCCTCTGTATCCATGGCTTCAAAATATTTGAAAAAAAGTATCTGGACTGAACATGTGTGGACTTTTTAGTGACCTAAACAGCACAGTGTAACAAATATTTTTGTAGCACCTGTATTGTGTTCAGTTTTAGATGTAATCTATAGATGATTTAAAGTATACAGGAAGATGTACACAGGTTATATGCAAATCATAGGTTATATGAAAATCCTATGTCATTTATGAAAGGGACTTAAGCATCTGCAAATTTAATATCTACAGGGGATGCTGGAGCTGACCTCTCAGGAACAAGGAGGGACACTGATATTCACATTTTACTTATATTTTATTAACTTTATTTTCATGTGTAATGCAATGTAAAGACTAACTTAGGTGCTTAAATAATAAATTTATCTAGAGTTGTTTATTATTTAGTTGTTATCATAAGTAGAGTCTGATTTTTTTTTTTAGAAAAAACCTTCTGTGATGAAATCTATACCAATGCTAAGCTTAGGAAATCAAACTTTAAGATCAGATCTTTGAAAATATTACTGTGAGATATTTAAAGTAGACCAAATTTTTAACTATGGATATAACACCTAGGCTTTTACCCTTGGAGTAAAAGCTGAGTGTTCTTTTATTTTCAATTACATGACTTTTTCCATGAATTATCTTCTGTTCTGACTTTGATGAACTAACTGCTTAAAAGAACTCTATATAGTTATTAAACATTTTAAAAATTAAAAATAAAAATAAACATGCCACCAAAAAAGTAAAAAAAAATTGTAAATAAAAAAGAAATCTATATACATTGAAAATATGTAAAAATCTAATGAGAGTTGTTTTCCTTGAAACATTATATATTTGATTTTCCTCCATAACAGGTTTCCTTCTTCTGCAAGCAGTTCATAGCACAACTGTGATCCCATCATGCATCCCAGGAGAGTCTGAGGACAACTGCACAGCTTTAGGTAAGCCTAAGGCAAAGTTAGCATCAAGGCTTCATTTCTAAGTAAAATCCAAGTGTAAACACGTGGATGTCTGGAAACACTAGAGGTCTGGAAAAATTACATGAAGGGGTAACAGATGGGAAAGGGATGCGACATCTAGTCGTAGACAGTATCTATTTAAAATAGTCATAGACATATCTGTTTTAGAAAGATAGAGAAGGAAAATCATATTTTAGTATAAAACCATTATCAGAGGACATTAGAAGGACTGGATCCAGGAAGAACTTCACACCCAGTAGATTTTCTCTTTATATATGTGTGCCTACAAGAGGAATAAATCTGCTCCTTTCCAGTCACGGTCCTCAGGAAACGATTATATTTAATGCCTACCAAGCATCATGCTAAGGTGTAGAGATACAAAGAAAAGTGACATAGTTTTTCCCCACAAGAACAACAGACTCTAGACATGGTGCAAGAGAGAGTTTTCCTCAGTCTTAGCTGGATACAGGAGTCAAGGAGTAGTTCCAGAAATCTCCTCCTTCCTTGTCCATCACCATTAGGTGGGCGGTAAGTCTCCCTCTGCCATTGCTTTTCTTTTTTTTTTTTTTTTGGTTGTTTGGGCAGGAAAGAGTATGGCAACCAAGACACTTTCTTTGAATAAGTTTCTTAACACTTTAGTGAAATACTCTCAAGAACATTTTTATGTGAAACACTATTTCTTTTGTTGTTGGTGGTGGTTTTTGTTTTTTGTTTTGTCTTTGCTTCTGAGACAGGGTCTCATGAGCTCCATGCTGGTCTTGAGCTCATATGTAGCTGAGGATGACTTTGAACTCCTAATCTTCCTGCATCTACCTTGAGAGTGCTAGTATTATAGGCATGCAGCATCACATCCAGTTTACGTAGTGCTAGGGATCAAACCCAGGGCTTTGTACATGCTATAGAATCACTTTACCAACGGAGTTACATATCTACCCTTTACCAACGGAGTTACATATCTACCCCAAAACACCATTTCAAAATAAAACTCTTGCTTTCATTGTGTTTGCTTAACAGGTATTCCTAACTCAAAATTTGTCTGGTTTACATGCATGTCTTCATGCAAGAGTTGTTGGGAGATTGGTTTCTTTGATAATAACCTCAAAAAATTGGGAACATACCCCCAATCAAGGCTTATTATAGAATTAAGCTCTCCTGAAGTAATGAATGGCTTCAACTTGTAATTCATTGAATTTTTTAGAAGTAATGAATTTCAGAATTGCTTTGACACTTGAAAAGAAGTTATATAAGTTTTACTTGGAGAAGGGAATGATACCGAGAGTGGAGGATGATGAGTGTGTGTGTGTTGGGGTGATGCTGACTTTTCTACATGTGAAGGGTATCTTTTGAAAGTTAAATCCTCAGGCATTATTTTGTTTAGTCTGCTGGATATACTACTTCAAGTTCAGGTGTTTGTTTATTGGTTCACAAAGTGTAATAAATAGAGTAACTCTGGACTTCTGACACATCTTCTCTACTGTTTGACATCTGACCTGTTCACTGAAGTTGCTTAGTAGTTACTATTATAAAATAGTAATGCCCTCAGAGACCAAGAACACAATGTAATGCAATAAACTCTCTATTCCCTTCCAGTTCAGAAAGAAGACAATCCACGTGTGGCTCAAGTGTCAATAACAAAGTGCAGCTCTGACATGAATGGCTACTGCTTGCACGGACAGTGCATCTTTCTGGTGGACATGAGTGAAAATTACTGCAGGTAAAATGAATGAGCAGCTGTGTTGATGTGTGTATTTCCCTCATTTTATATGTAGTTACTGTGTATTTCCATGGGCTGCTGAAATGTAGTTTATAATTACTATTTAAAAGGGGTTTTTTTGAAGTCAGGGAACAAATAGAATATTTCAATCTGCCCAGATAATTTGAGGTGCACAGTAGAGAGGGCCTTAGGTGTCCCCTCTCACCATAATAGCAGTTTTCTCTATCAGCTATTGATGTAAGGATTGATTCTTTGATTTGAACAAAAACTGTGTCATATCTACGGAACTTACAAAGCACCAGTAGGTTGACCAGTAGCTTGGCAGCCAAATCAAACTGTAATTTTATTACTGTAGTTTAGCCTGGGAGCTCTGTGGAGCCATTTTGTTGGTTCAACTCTCAGTTCAATCTTTTTATTAATTTTTATTATATTTAGCAGATCTTGCTGATTTCTTACATTACATTGTGGATTTAGTTCTTACAAAACCAGCTCATAACTATGACTTTATTTCCAAATAATTGATTTCTTCCTGCATTTTTTCAGATGTGAAGTGGGCTACACTGGTGTCCGATGTGAACACTTCTTCTTAACTGTCCACCAACCCTTGAGCAGGGAATATGTCGCTTTGACTGTGGTTCTTATCCTCCTGTTCCTTGTAGTAGTCGTCGGTTCCATATACTATTTCTGCAGATGGTAAGCCAGTCATTTTTATTCTCTGCTAACCAAAGAATGAAAGGAATGCAGTAGAATTTCCACTGTGATGTTTACAAAGATGCTTTGCTGTGCAACATCTGAGTTTCATTAGATTATTTTTACTTACTGTTTGTTTGATATTATAAAAATTGAACAGGGAATATCTGTTTCTTCCTTTATAAAATACAGGCAGAAATTCTTATCCTAGCACAATTAAAATACTTACCCTACAGTAATATTATCACAAGTTGATAACTGAGAAGAAATATAACTAAAGACTGTCAGGGTTTTTTTAGTTAGAAATGGACTGTGGAAACAGTATGATAGTGAGCAGTAGTTACCATGAAAATGTTTCCACTTTAACCTTCTCATTTTGAACTTGGTATGAATGGTTCAGTGATTATTTTTCCTGAGACATATTATCTACAATTCAAAGTATCCAGCCAATAATAATGCCTTTCTAATTAGCTATCACAAAACTGAGTATTATTGAAAGAAATGGATAGGAGAGATGATAGAGAGAGAAAAGAATTGTTCCCCTGTCAATTCAGTTTTATGAAGTCCTTTCACTTGTGTTACTTGTTTAACTATGTCCATTTCTTATCAAATTTGATTGCCCCCCTTCCCCTCTCCTTTACACTGTCTGACTTATACCTCATCAGTCTTGGCCTTCTGCTAATGTGCTGTTGGAGTCTATACTTATGTCTGTTTTGTTAACAGAACTATGTATTTATTACCATTAATTACAGTGCTAACTGTTTCATTTCTGACTATTTCCAGGTACAAAAATCGAAAAAGTAAAAAATCAAAGAAGGAATATGAGAGAGTGACCTCAGGAGACCCAGTGTTGCCACAAGTCTGAACATCACCATCAAATTATGGGCAGAGATACGTAGCAGGCGTGGCCAATGTTAATATTTCTGTATTATTAATAATATTTATGTCAGGTCATGTGATAGGTCAATAACTATATATTTTTACTGCACTTGGAAAGTGTTTTATTTTTGACAGATTATTTGCTGTTATATGTAAAAATATTTAATATCAAAAGAAAATTGATATTTTTGTAAGAATTTCCTGAGTGAAATGCTTTATTGAAAGCTTCCAAGCTTATAACCCTCCACACAGTGCTTAAGAGTGAGCAAGGCCCAGTTTGTTGCTCAGGAGGTGTCAACAAGTCACAGATTTCTGTGTGCCTAAATATATGATCAAATCAATTTTATAAATAATTTATTTTCTACTTCTCAGATCAGTGATAATTGATTTGATCATATCATGGCTTGGTACAGTAGTTGGCATCACTGTTTTTTGTATTAAAACAAAAATGTATTGGGACTTGGGAGAGGCAAATACAGGTCATATGATTTACATTGTACATTTGAACCACTAGTCCTGGAAAGGATGCCTCTTCACCCCAATTTCAGCTGGCGAGGTATGGATGTGCCTGGTAGGGAAAATGAAATTCCCTGTGCCCATCCACCCAACCAGTAGGTATTCCATTTTTGTAGTGTACATGGTTTGTATGAGCTAATTGTTGAGTATCAATCAAAAAATCCACACTTGAAGACAAATTTGTACACCACTTTAGACTATTTATTTTATAGGGAATTTACTGAAGAATTGTAGCATTAAATCAGAGTCTAAAATTGGACTAATCATAATTTTAAAATGTAATAAGACAATAGTCATATTGTCTAATGTGGAAATGTAGTTATTTTATATTTAAAAGAAGATTTTGTGTTTTTATTTTTGTTGTTTTGTTATTGTTGTGGTTTGGGAGCCAGAGTCTCTTTAGCCCAGACTGGTCACAAACTCATGGCAATTCTGTTACCGCAGCCTCCTAAGCGGTGGGATTATAGGTATGCATCATCATACCCAGCTTTGAGAGAGTTTTACTTAGAAACACTTCAACTGATAACTTATTTGAAATTTTAAAGTTATATATTTAAGTGTATATCCTAACACTGGAAGTAAGAAAAAAAATTCAGAAAAATCAATTGCAGTGTTTTTGTTTTCCAAAGAAACTTTCAAAATTTAGACTTAACCACACATTCTCATGGAAGCGAAGATGAAACAAGGGCCCTTTCCCTGTCGCTTGTTTGTCTTTTTGGAGAGGCAGGTTTCTGCTCCACTCTGAGCCTGCAGATCTCAATGAGTCAATGAGAGTACTTCGGGCAGTTACATCAGGAGTCACACTGGCACACCTTCGCCTTGCCTGGAAGGCTGCCTCACCTAATGCTCAACCTTGGGGTTGAGTCTCTAGAACACATACCAGGTCAGGGAGGATCTATTTTTCCACCTTTTTTTCCTGGCACCTGCTAGGGCAACAAAGAGATCATAAGTTGCCGCTGACATCTGGGATGCCAGGGCCAGAACTTGCTGCCATGTGGAACCACTCACTGGACACCCTAGAAGCTTCACATGACTCCTATCCAGCAGTCTTGACCTCACTCTTGAGGAAACAATACATAAAACAAATAATACGTTGCATATTCTCATACAAATGCTGTGCTCCATCCATCACAGAATTATAGCCATTCGTTTCTATATTAACCAACATATAAAATCTTTAAAAAGGCAAAAGAAAATAAAATTCAATGAGAACTAAAATTATATTTCTTTGCCATTTAATTTAGCTGAAGTCAAATGTGCCATGTAAGAACACATTCTCAATCCTATACATACCTCTTGACACCAACTGGCTTTGAAGGAAACAGGCCTGTTTTCTGTGACCTTGGCTTCTTCAAACAAAATATTTTGGCTCATTGAGAACTCAGCTACAATCCATTCACTTAATTTACACAAGTCTTATTGTAAGATTTTTAAAATTGGCACAATATTGTACTGTAAGCATCTCTGCTCATATAACCTAACCTGTTTTGGATAACATATATACATATATAACATATATATATATATATGTTTTTAAAAAGAACCCTTGAAGGAGTTAATATTTATTTATAATTTTTGTCTCATTACTAGGGATTAAACACAGGGTCTTGCACACACTGAGCAAACATTCTACCATTGAGCAATACCCATAGCCCCATAAATACATACTGAATAATGAAAAAATGTGACCCAGATTACAGTATAAAAGGGTTGCTATTCAGTTCAGTACATAAAGATTTCCCATTTTTATCCCCCCACGTACTTGCACATACACACACACACACACACACACACACACACACACACACACACCGACAATGCTATAAACATCCTGTATTTAGATCCAAACCAATTGCAAATGAAAAGTTGCAGAACTTATGGTGTGCCACCAAGGCCACTCAATAACTCTGAACACACTCTCTAAGCAAGGACTTTAATGAGTTCTATACTCAATACTAAACACTTTAAAATTGAGACTTTGCACAATATAAAGTGTCTACTCCACTCAATAGCTCTCTTGCTCTTATATATTTTTCACTTCATCTCTCTGGAAAAACTGAACGTCTAACTCTGTCTCATCTCAAATTTTCTTTTTCAGTCCTTGGGAAGAGGGTTAACTAAACTCAGTTATCAACAGATATCAATTATGCAGCAGATACATGACCTTCTGTAGTGTTTGATTTCTGTCTCACTCAGTAATACATTCTTTAAAACTGTTTATCTGACCGAGTTTACCAGTTTTGCTTCAATTTCTAGTGCATGGAATTTAAAGTTTGGTTTGCTGTCCAATATTTTCCAACTTTTCTACTATTATGGGAGAACAAGGAGTATAAACAGCATTTCTGGGGTACATTTTCAAGTTTTCACTGAAGAATAATTACATCTAAAACATCTCTGTTATTCACATCTGATGATGTTAAATGTGATGCAGCATATTTTTCTATTTGCCTTTTTTGCACTCTGTAATTGCACTTTGTAAGTCTGAAGAGCCATTTTAATATGCAGTTTCCATTAAAGATGCTATGGAGCATAAACTTGTATTGCATTCAGCTTAAAGTAACTTATTTGACTATGAATTTTATCAGAGTACTGAATTGTATCAATTTGTTTGCATTCAATATCAGCTTTGATAATTGTGTACCTTAAGATAGTGAAGGAGACTATAATTTATGAGTTATTGTCAGTTTTTATTTATTTTTGTTGGGAATTGGCAAAAATACAATTGAGAAATAAAAGTGCAAATTCATACAAGCTGTGAAGTCTCTTCTCTTTTTTGTTTTCACTATTTTGCTTCCTAGTACATTAGAGAGCAGATCAGCAATGGCGGAAATATAATCTGACAGTGTGATGACACAATGCTCTTCGTTTGGAAAAGCATTCCATATTTTTATCATATTGGGTAACCTACTGTAGTGAAGATGTTTTAAAAATAAAAGGAGTCACAATAATTATGAAATTCTAGGTGTTACCATTTTGTAAAAGAATATGTTAAAGTTTATTTTAATATGCCTTATAAGAAGTGGCATTTGAAGAGCTACATCAGGCAGAATTATATCTCTTGATTCCTCAGCATGTGATGTGAGGCTTGACTCACTTGACTCTTCAGAGCAGAATGCACTGGTCACTTCAAACCCTTTTCCTTGTGTGCTTCCCCAACAACCTGCACAGCACCTTTTGGTTTTGGTTTTGTAGAACTAGAGATCAAACCATAGGCCTCAGGAGCTAACTATAAATTTGACCACTAAGCCACACCCCCACCCATTCTATAGTTTTATCCACTTCTTAACTCCCTGATCCTTTGTTAGCCTGAGGATAGAGGCGGAGTCGCAGGTAGGACATTTTTATGGTAGCTGGTGACACTGCATAGCTGTCCTGAAAAACTAAGTGCCCTGGCACTGGAGCCACTGTAGTTCTGACCATACCAGAGGCAACAGAACATAGTAAAGCTTTAGTCTCAAAACTGTTTCAGAGTTTTCTTGGGAGAAACAGGAATTCTTGTAAATTAGAGTTCTTGGGATCTCGCAAAACCATTGGACAGACTTAGTTCAAAATCTAAGAACCTAGCAAAGGAAAAAAATCTAAAAATTCTTTTTCTTTCTTGACTCCAAGGATACCACCTTCAACTGATTTTCTGCCTGCTACCTGCTTGGCTGTCTCTAAGCCAGTCGTTCTGAGTATCTCATCTCCCCTGTGGACCTGTAAGCACCCAAGTGCCCGAGAGCTCAACCTTGGAAATTTTCTCTTTATATAACCACTCCCTACTTTACTGCCTATGGCTTCCTGTCTTTGAGTGCCATTACAGAGTGACTGTTCTCAGCCTAGATTCTTTCCCTGAGTTCCAGCTATCTATTCTCAACTACCAACCTAATAGCCCCATTTCCACAGTCACAAGATATTCAGTGGTAATGTGTTCAATAACTGACATTCTACTTAAACATCATTGTTTTTTTCTTCCTTTTTTGAGACAGGAACTCACTCTGTACCCCAAGCTGACCTTGAATGCACAATCCTACCTTATTCTCCCAAATGCTTGGTTAAAAAAGTATTTCTTGGGCTGGAGAGATGGCTCAGTAATTAAGATAATTGACTGCTCTTGCAGAGGACCAGGGTTCGATTCCCAGCACCCACATGGCAGCTAACAACCATCTGTAACTCCAGATCCAGAGGAATCATATACCCTCTACTGACCTTCAGGGGCATTACACGACATGGGCGCACTTACATGCAGGCAGTACACTCATATACATAAAAAATATAATAGATAAAACATTAAAAAAAAATACTTCTTTTCTGAGGGCCAGCAAGATGTCTCAGTGTGTAAAGGCGTTTGTCAACAAGCCTAATGACCCAGGTTCCATCAGGTGAGAACTGACTTCAGAAAGTTGACCTCTGACCTCCACATGTATGCCACGAGATCCACACCTATGCACACACAGACACACATACATGCATACAATAAATAAATGTAATAACATATTCCTTTTATATAGTTTACATCTCATTTATTTTCTGAGAATTTCATACACACATACAACATATTTTGATCAATCTACCTCTTAGTCTTTCCCCTCAGCTCCTCCCTATCCCTACATCTCTGTCTTCAAGTACTCTTTTTGTTGTTGTTGTTTTTGGTTAAAATTTATTTATTTTTGAGTGTGTGTTTTGCCTGCATGTATGTAAGTACACCCAGGCCACATCCATGAAGAAAAGTAACACTCTTTTTCCCCAGGAGCCATCAATTTCCCATAGCTCCTAAACTGGCTTCATGAGCCCCTCTTCCAGGCTGGAATGTTGACTGCCTTGGTCTTGTGCAGGTCTTGTGCATGCAGCCACAGTCACTGAGAGTTCATGTATGTAATGGATCTGTCATGACTGGAGAACACTGTTTAGCAACAGTCTTCTACACCTTTTGGCTTTTAGGTTTTCTTCTACCTCTTCTTCCAGTATGATCCCTGAACCATGGAAAGCGGGGTGTGTGACATAGGTGTCCCATTTAGGGCTGAGCACTCTATACAGAGTCTCATATTATCTTCAGTTTGACAAATTGTAGTCTCTGTTTTAAGTACTATCTACTGAAAAAAATAAAAGCTTCACTGATAAAGGGTCACACAGATCATCTTAACTGTACCAGAGGGTATGTATTTGATAATAGTTAAGAAGTTAGATTGAATATATTCAACATCATACTGAAAAGATAAACTTCACGTGAACAGACAGTAGAGAATCATCTTGATCAGTTCGTGATCAGAAATGATTCTATTAATAAATGTGGCAGAGCATTTTGAAGAACTCACTTCCAAAGTGATCCATTCTGAATGTTACTTTCCATAATAGAAGGGGCTTGTAGAATTCTGGATTAGGGGGATGAAGAGATGGTTCCATTGCTAAAGCACTTGCCAAACGTGTAAAGACGTGAGCTAAGACGTCCAGCACCCATGTAAAAAGCCAAGCATGGGGGCTATATACCTATAACCCTGGTGCTGGGGAGGCAGAGACAGGAGGATCCCTGAGTCCTCTGGCCAGCCAGTCTTAATGAATTGGTCAGCTCCAGGTTCACTGAGAGATCTGAGTCAAAAAATAAGATGTAAAGCAATAGAGGAAAACATCTGATATTGACAACTGTCCTCCATATGCTGAAACACACAAATGTACATGCACACACACACATGCACACACACACGCACACACACACATACATATATAACACACACAACTATTCTGGACTAAGTAGGTATAATCTAACACACTGAGTATCTGAAAATGAGGTGTTATTCCAGCTGTGGTCAGAAGGGTGTGATCTGAGAACTTGACCCAGAGTTCTGGTGAGAGGTGGACACAAACCAAGAACTACTGTGGCCAATAGGAGTTTTAAAAAGCAAGGAACCAGATTATCTTCTAGAGTCTCCAGAAGAGGATTCAGCCCAGGTAATATCTTGATTTGTTTCTCTTTTCTTTCTTTCTTTTCTTTTTTTTTCTTTTCTTTTCTTTTAACTTAGTGCAAAGACCTTGATTTAACCAAAAGGGGCTATGTAAGACTTCTGATCTACAGAACTATAAGTAATAGATTCCATTGTTTAAAGTCATGGAATCAATTCATGGTAAGTTGTTGCAACTAATAGAAATATAACACAATTGCTGTTTGGGGAAGGCTGACAGAAATTGCACTACCTGGGAGAAAGAGAAAGACAGACAGCCATCAATGAAGTATTGCAATGGACTGCGTGAAAACTGAGCAAAACTTAGATTCAGGTACTATTGGAGGGAATAAGGAGTAAAGAGGGCATTTTTGTGAGCAGCACAGAAGGAAAATCAAGTATTTAGAGTGACTGGATATGGAAATGAGGAAAGACAAAGTTCAGTAGAATTCACCTTAGGAAAGAAGGAAATTAATCTAATTTAAATATGTTGAAACAAAGGTAGCAAGAGGGCATATGTGTAGAAAAAGCACGCTTGATGTATTTGGCAATACCTCAAAATTATATACTGTATTATGATTTCACAAACCACTTTTACATCTACTAACTCCTTGTTTACATGCACACATTGAGATGACAGATAGAGATTAATAATTATTACCTACATGAGAATTTGGGCTGGGGTTGTAGCACTCACTTAGCCTTGGGTTCAGTGTCCAGCACCAGAAAAAACAAAACATAAAAAGGGACTATAGTCTCTAGAAAGGCTATGACATGCAAAGTTGTGAAATCATCCACTATCTCAGGATCCTGAGTCTTCGTCTCAATTCAGAGTTTGGGGTTTTAGATACATCACAGGATTACACTGTTGAGCGAAGTTGTCAAGGTAGGAACCTAATCAGAGGGACTATAGCTAAAGCCAGAGAAGCACTTCCCAGAAATGAAGGTAGAGGAAAAATACAAAACAAAGCAAGCTAATAAACAAGTGAGTCTAAAGAAAAGTCCTCAAGAAATTGATAAAAAGAACAGAAAAAAGAAGAGCCTGAAAAAAAAGAAATGTTTATTTCATTACTTCATTCAGGTAACCAAACACTGAGATTTTATTACGTCTTGCTATACATCTTTTTTCTTTTTTTAAGCTTTAAGAATTATTTTTTTAAATATATTTATTTATTTTTTAATTTTATGTGTATGAGTGTATTGACTGCATGTATGTAAGTGCATCCATCATGTGATGCAATGTCCTCAGAGGTCAGAAGAGAATGTCAGATCCCCTGGAACTGGAGTTATGGACAGTTGTTAACTGCCATGCGAGTGTTGGGAATTGAATGCAAGTTCTCTGCAAGAGTAGCCAGTGCTCTTAACCACTAAGCCAACTCTCCAGCCCCTTATTTTATGTGAATGAGTGTTTTGTCTGCACGTATGTAAGTGCATCTGTGTCATGCAATGCCCACAGAGGCCAGAAGAAGATGTCAGAGCCTCTGACACTAGATTTACAGGTGGTTGTTAGCTGCCAAGTGGGTGCTGGGAACTGAACCTGGGTCCTCTTCAAGAGCAGCCAGCGCTCTTAACTGCTGAACCATCTCTCCAGCCTCTCCTTTTTAGTTTTTTTGAGACAAAGTCTCCCTGTAGGCCCAGCTGGCCTGGAACTCACTATGTATACCAGACTGGCCTTGATCTCACAGAGATCCTGCCTCTGACTCCAGAATGTTGGGATTAAAGGAATATGCCATCACATCCAGCTTACTATATATCTTAAGAATATGCCATACAGATGAAACCTGGAATTTA